CCCCCCCCACATCAAGAAATATTATGTGTAGAAGACTTAAAAAGGGACAAACTCTACTAAAAGAGTCCCTATATGTAATATATAATGAGTTTAAGTTCGGTTAGCAGTGCAAAAAATATTTACACAATCAAACAATAACAACAACAATAATCCTGTATAATCCCGCTAGTAGAGTCTTGGGAGGGTAGTATGTAGACCTTACCCCTACCCAGGGGCAGAGACGCTGTTTCCGATAGACCCTCGGCATCCCTCCCTCCAAGAACTCTCCATCTTGCTCTTGGGGTGACTGGAACTCGCAACCTCTTGGTTGGAAGTGGAGGGGTTGTGAGTTCGAGTCACCAAGAGCAAGGTGGTGAGTTCTTGGATGAGGGATGGCGAGGGTCTATCGAAAACAGCCTCTCTACTCCATCAAATCACTCATATTAAGATAATTATTAAACATTAATTGATAATTAAGTAAAATATAAATAAAACTGCAATCACAAGTCAAACTAACTTATTTGTGTAAAATAAACTTTATACTGCTAAGTGCTAATGTATATAAAATTAAATCCATAATTTATATTCCATCTATTTCAATTTATTTGGCGATCTTTGACTAGGTACAAAGACTAAGATAGAAAAATTACTTCTGGAACTTATAGTTTTAAAATTCCATGACATTTGTCGCTAAAAAGCAATTTCATTAAGGGTTAAAGGAAAAATTCAAACGTCAATTTATTTCAAGATATAAAAAGATGTAATTTTTTATAACGAGCTAATAAGAAAAGAGTGCTACACAAAAAATAAGAAAACTCTAAATTTAGGACCAAAGGGACAAAAACAAAAAAGCAATACTAACCATGCCAAGATTCATTTCCTTCTGCAAAACGTTGGTTTGCAAAGCGAGTTCGATAACAACTGTGGGAAGAGTTCTAGGGTTTTCTTGAATAGAGATACTAACACGTCCTTTTCGATATCCAAACAACGTACCGGTGATTCTTGAACCTGGAATTATACGGCTATTACTGTCCGGTAATCGGCCGCCGGGGAGAGAAGGAAGCTTGCATGCAGGTGTAATAATGGGGAACGATCGGAAAACGTTTCGAAAAACACGAAAAACCCTAGTTCGATTTTTTTTCTTGGTAGAATTAGCTGGCTCAACGAGGGATAATTGCGGAGTTGGTGGTGGAGGTGGAGTCTTTTTTGAAGAAAAAGACGAAGATGATGATGAGCTAGCTCTTGGCGTTGATTGTGAATCCTGATCCATTGCTGGTTTCCGTTATTAGGGTAACCAGCAATGGATGAGGTAAATTACACAGAGAAGGAAGAAACAAAGATTAAAGATGTTGAATTTTGCATTTAATGGAGATTGGGATAGGGGTAGGAGGGGAGAGGGGGTTGATTGTAGTTTGATTTCTTGGTGTAGGTGTTTGGAAATGATATTCCTTTGTTTTTCTTCGGCTTGAGTTTAGTTCCTTAGTATTCGGAACCTAAAATGGTGGAACTAATTAACCAATACTATCATTACCTATTTACTTTAGATAAAAAAGAGTCGAAACTCATGTTATTAATAAACTATAATAAATATTTATTGTACTAATAATTTGATGTAAACACATCATACGATAAGTATTTACTAGTTTAATTTAACCCACAAAAATAGAGTACCATACCCAAAAAAAAAAAAAGGACTGAAAAATTAGAATTCTGACTCCTTGGATAGGACTATAACGCTAAGATATTATATTAGGGAAGTTGTATTTTATATAATTTTTCTTGAAGAAATTTACCGGAAAGTTCAATAATATGGACTTTAAAATATCTAATTATATGATGCTATTAATCAATTAATATTTGTACTGAAATAGTATCACCTCGGATCCGTGGCGCAATGGTAGCGCGTCTGACTCCAGATCAGAAGGTTGCGTGTTCGATTCACGTCGGGTTCAATCCCCCCGATCCAAAATCGGATCCATTCTTTTGTTTCTCCAATATTTTCAAATCCATTTTTGTCGCTTTTTCCCACGAATTTCCCCTGAATAGATGGACAAAATCTGAGACTCCAGTATCAGCAACTTCACCATCTAACATTATACAAAATTGCAAATTATGAGATTTTGCTCTTCAAAGCTAATTTGCACATTAATTTTAATTCAAGTATTTAGTACTGTAACTCTCTTTTAAAGGGGTGGCATAACGGTTAAAGAGTTGGAATATCAGCAAAAGTAGCACAAGATTAATTCTTTCATCTACCTGAGCTTTGTAGGGTGGGGTTGCCTATAAAACATATGCTAGTGGAACGTAGCAATAAATTAGTCGATGTGCTAGCAAGTTAACTTGAATACTACAATTATTTAAAAAAAAAAATTAGATTAGTAACTTTTTTTATTGGTGTGCTGGTTGTTGCCCTTCCTTTTACATTTTCTAAGCCGAGGGTCTACCGGAAACAACTTCTTCATTTTCTTGAAACTAGGGTAAGGTCTACATATTCACTACCCTCCCCAGACCCCACTTGTAGGATGCACCGGATTTGTTGTCGTTGGATTAGTAACTTTTGAAAGCGGTAATGTTGATTCAAAGATCATACCAAAATTTTGACCTATAAGTTCTTTGACTATTCTGGAAAATAGGGGCAAAAAAATAAAAGGATATTCTTTGATAGATTAAAGTATGATCCTACTTAACTACGAAATCATGGATCAGCTACCAAATCCATGAACTAGGGGAAGTTAACATAGACAAAAGTCTGAAGTATATGAACGCAGCAAGAAGGAAACAACATTCAATTACAACCCATTGAACGACAACAGACATTTTACAAGAAATATGTATAAGGCGGATTTGATTTCCTTGGACCTAATGCTTTTGGCTCTATGCCTTTGCCCTGGACGCCAAGATATTGAGGATCGTCCTGGAATACCGGGTGAGGGTGAAAAGCATTTGTAGAGCAGCACGACCTTTAACGATTCCCTCCCTTAAGTCCCTCGCCTTTTTAGCTAAAGCTGGTCCTGTTGTCCTGGTCTCCGTTGGGACTAGTAGACTCTGCATGTTTGCTAATGAAGTAAAGATGAAGCGAAATTCATCACCTGAAAACATCTCAATGATCATAAAAGAGCAACGACAGCTAAATGTCTAATAACCTGATTGAGCCATGCTTGAAAACTGTCGCAATCTTTCCTCTGCCAAGCGGACAGCTCGAGTTGAGCTTCTAACACCTTGTGCTACTCCTTGGCTGGAAAGATCAAGACGTCAATATTAGCATCATGTCCAAGGATACTTCCACAAATTAATGACATATAACTGAGAAGGGGAGCCTTGGCGTAACTGGCAAAGTTGCTGCCATGTGATGCAGGAGATCACGGGTTCAAGCCGCGTAACCAGCCTCTTGCAGAAATGCAGGGTAAAGCTGTGTACAATAGACTCTTGTGGTCCGGCCGTTCCCGGGATCCCGCGCATAGCGGGAGCTTATTGCACCGGGCTGCCCTTTAATGACATATAACTGAATAAGTACATTTGTTTTGTACTAACCCAAGGTCACTGAGCTCCATAGTAAGGTCACTGATTTCCATACCAGAGAGTCGAACTGCAGCCATAGTGTCAGGAAGCTCCTCTCTAGTAACATCCATTAGCTTCTCTAGCGACTCTGCAGCTCGTCTAAAAGCCTAGAGTCGAAATTGAACATTAAGTTATTGAGATATAGAAACATGCATGCACCACATCTGATTATATGATTCTTCTAGCAGATAAATTACACTTTCTTCAGCTTTCAGTCTCAACTCTCACGTCAATATTTCATTTCCCAGAAATGAAAGAAGTTCACAACAGCCTTAAACTGCTTCCAAAGTTCCAGTGGCGAAGCCAAGAATTACGCCAAGGGTGTTCAAGATTTAATATACATGTTCAGTATAAATTTTTATATACACAGTATAATTTTTCGACGAAGGGTGTTCAACTGACCACCCTTCATTGTATGTGGCTACGCCACTGCAGAGTTCTACTGCATAGGTACTTCTTGCATGCAGACCTCATAAATAATTACTGGAAAAGTATAATGACCAGGAAGAATTTGTTGACACATACCAGAAGTGTTGGAATTGCAGAAAAAAACAGCCAGGTTGCAGATATTGCTGCCTGTCAAAGAATACAAAGTAGGTATATCAGAAAATTCGGGTTCTAAGTTAAATACCCACAGAAAGAAAATTAAACTGAAGTTTCTCTACGGCATGAATGTACGTGAACTAATTGGCAACCTATCCCAAGTTATGACTTGACAAACACTTAGACCTCCATTTATGACAGTTGATGAAATACGTATAAAGTAAAGTAAGTGTTTGAATCAGCTGGGAAGGGAGAAAAACCAAAAAGAAATGAAAAGTGAAACATTACTCTTTAGCTAGGAAGGGAAAAAGGAAAATAAAAGAAAAGCCAACTATCGGTCTTTTTTTATAAAGGAGTGGGGCAACAGTAGCAAACGAATGTAGTTAATACGGTCCAAAAAAGTTTAGCTTTCGATTCAACTGTATCCCTGTAAACCAACTCATTTAGTTGCATCCTCATTACAGAACTCAGTGGTCTAACTACCTCTCATCCTTCCTATCCAATGTTTACAAGAAGCCTGAGAAAGCAGAGATTTGCCTCTACGAGAGTATGCCCGAATGGCTGACGAGTCAGCCACTTGATTGCCTTCATTGTAACAGTAACTTGATTGTCACAGCCATCCCTTATAAGTTTCATCTAATCAACAATAGAACCAAATACTTCTAAGAAGACACTTGAACATGTTCTGTCTCGGGTGTACTCATTTGTTTATTTACTTCACTTGTATTTTTTACACTATTCTATTTCATTAACATATAAAATAATACTTCATTTATTTTTATTCACATTACTCTTATTCGATACCATCTCTTTTAGCTCTTCAATCCACCCGCATGCCCTCATTGAACCTCGTTGTATCCCAAACATACCCGTGATCTCTCCGCCAACCTTGCAACTGCATACCCTAACCCCTCCTGTCACAAACACCTGCAATCCTCGCCCATCTCACAAAAACTTCTTTGGGAGAAAATTTCATTAGTTCATGTAAGGCACAATGAAATGAAACTAAATTATCTTTCTAGAGCTCAAATCATTAATTTACATGTTCAGAGTAAAGCCAATTAATGGTGGCATCACAAGTGACTTCAGGAACCAAATCTGCAAATTACAGGCTTACAAGAGACCCACTCCAGTACTATTACATTTATATAAAAGCAGGTAGTTATAGACCTATTAATCACAAAATACATTTTTCCAATCTTCCTGAACATGGTTTGTTTTAGCAAGTTAAGATTGTGATGGAAATCAGATACATCCTCCTCTTTTCTTCTAGATCAGTATCACCTTTTTTTAATCTCATTAGTCTTCAATGGAAGGAGGAAAAGAAAGAACGAAAAAAGTTTGCACTTATGACGAGCTATGATTATGCACATTATGGGTAGGTAACAAATTTAGGATCATATGACAGATTGCAAACACTATATATGCTAATTTAACATAATTTAAATGTTGCATGTCAAATTAAATAATGCAAAAATAAATAAATTGGGGATTATCTTCCCAACTTAGTCACTCATAATATAGCCACTTTACTAGCTGCATAACTAGTTGCTTCAAAAACCAAAGTACAATCTATGGGGTCAAACCGCCACAGACAAGCCAGTAACATTTCCAAGCAGGAACTACAGAGGTGTTTGATTAGTAAAGTTAACAATGTTCGCCCGTATTTAATTGCATCAGTCCTCCAAGAACGGGAGAAAAGAGATAGAAAGGCAAGAAACTAATAGTATTTTACAGCGAGCTAACAAAACAACAACTAAGCTTCAATTAACAAACAACAACTAAGCTTCAACCCAAAATAATTGGGAGGAGCTATACAAATCTTCCACATTCACTCTGTTCTATTGGACTTGCTTTATTCCAAAATTCCATGGTGTGTCTTTTAAGGCAAATTAGGAGTTCTCCAAAAGTAGATGTCATAATTTGGCTAGTTTACAACGGTCATCTACCTAAGCAACCCTACTCCTTTATGTGGAATTGGAACTGACAAGGTGAGTCTCGATAATATGAATCTTACATAGATGTGAAGGTAACATAGGCAGGGTTTAGCTTAAACACAAAAACAAAACAAGAAACAAGCACAATATGGCAGAATCCTAAGAAATCCTTGAGTAATTTCCTTATAACTTATTCTAGTCAAGCTATCCACAAGCCAATAGAGAGAAAATATGCACAACAGCTAGAATGTCGTAGGAATCGCTCAAAACTACACGAATGAACAATGTATGAGAATAACACTGATATACTTATCCACGTGCACACACACACATAAATATATAGAGAAGCCAGAGGTTTCAAATTAAATGATT